GAGCAGCCCATCCTGGCCGCGAGGAGGAATTAACCCCTTCCTTCCCTGGGGCCGACAATCCAAAGGGAGTGGGGAAACTGAGTCATGCATTGCCGCCCCCCCCCTCCCGTAATAATAGTAAAGAAATGTCCATGTTCTCCATCCTGGCCTTGCAGGGGTCTCTGGATGACCAGGGATGTTAGCAGGAGCTGCCATCCAGCCCCTTTCGCCAGGATGAATTGCTGCTACACTGATAACATCTCATTCACACTGGTGCAAATCTGGAGTGACTCCAATACAGCGAGGGGCTTGGATTCTCCATTGTATCCAGGAATCTTTGTCCTGCTCCAGCACTGTAAAGGGGCCTTAACAGAGGGGAAATGACCCCTAAGAATCAGTGTGGAGCCGGCATAAGATCCCTGCACCAACCTTGCTCCTGGTGTATGGGGTGGATCAGGGGCAGGGCTGCAACGCACTGAATTATGGGTATTCTTTGTTCCAGAGCGGGCGGGGGCAGGGCAGAAATTAGAGCAGCCCCGAGGCTGCTGTAAGAGCAGGATCTGGACGAGGTGGAGCGGAAGGTGGCTTATATCCTAGCCCTGTCGCATTGGAAACCGCAGGGGAGAGCGGAACGCAGCCCCGTACGCTGGTGTCGGTCCCGTGGTGCTGCCCTCAGACCCCGCTTCCCTAGCTACATCTGCTGGGGCCCACGCCCCAGGGGGCAGCGAGGTTCTCCGCACGGAGCTCAGCCTTGGCTTTGGGAGTCGACGCAGGGTCACCCCCGGTTTCCCAGTGGGAGGACCGGCCCGATTTAGACACCCGAGCTGCCGGCTGTCCTGCCCCCTGCCCTCCGAGCCCTCGACCCTCCAGCCCCTACCCCAGGAGCGGTGCTGGGCTGCGGCCAGGAGAAGGCAAATCCATCTGAGAGCTGGGGGCCGAGGTGGGGAGCCCGGAGCCAAGCCACGCTGAGAGGCCCCCAAGCCGGAAGCTCGGCAGGGGACCAGTCCGGTTGTCCCCACTTGGGGACCGGGTGCGAGTGTCAGACCCAGAGCCGAGCGTCCCTGAGCCAGCTGCGTGCTGCCCTCAGGAGCCTTGGCTGTTGGATCAGACCCCGTCTCGCCGAAAAAAGAAAAAAGATCTGATTGAAGGAGCATGTTTGCTCAGACGGGGGAGGACTTTTGCCCCCCCGCTGGCTTGGCACCCCTCAGCGTGCTGTTTGGGTGCGTGGACGCAAGTTGAGCAAGCAGCGATTGGCAACAGCTCCGACCAGCCCTGCTACGCCCCCTCTCCGCCCCCAGCGGGCCGGCTGCAGAGAGCCAGGATTCACAGTCCCACGGTCCCGAGCGCTGCCCCCCCAGGAGGCGACCCCCAGGAGCAGACAGCAAGAGCCTGCGGCAGGGGCTAGCAAGTCCCAGGCCACCTGCGGCTTGGGGAGCTGGCAGCAGCCTCTTGAGTGGCCCCTGGAAGCAGGGCAGGCCTTGGCGTGCGAGGCCGAGCCAGCCTGGCCCCTGATGGGGAATGACTGTTTGGTGAGGGCAGGCCCGCCCCAAGCTCAGCTCCCGGTGCCCGCTGGGCGCTGCGCGGTGCTAGCCGTGGCAGCTGCGTGGTGGCTCCTGGCACCGGCTGGGGCAGGACTGGGATCCGCGTGTGGGGATGGGGAGGGACTTGCTAGCTGACTGAGGTCACGCGCACACAGATACAGCGTTTTATTGAGGGCACCGGACAGAGGCGGCTCAGGGAGGGAGGAACAGACATCTTAAAGGGCTGCGGGCGCCTTACGGACAGAGAAGCCGGGCCGCGTCCCTCCCGTCGGGACCAGCGTCGCCCCTCTCCCCAAACCACTCTCCTGGTTCCACAGGACTCGGCGCGCGCCAGCTGATGTCCCAGGCTGCAGCTCTGATTCGGTGCCACGTAGGGTGACCAGATGTCCCGATTTTATAGGGACAGTCCCGATATTCAGGGCTTTTTCTTACATAGGGACCTATTACCCCCCACCCCCAGTCGCGATTTTTCACACTTGCTATCTGGTCACTCTAGTGCCAAGTGACGTGCTGTGGCCCCCTGTTCCCCGCCCCGCACAGCCGCAGACTCAGAGATCCCAAGGCCCCTTCTGACTGTCTCGTCTGAGTCCCTGGGTAGCATCCCCACCTAGAGCAGAGCTTTTGGAAAATCATCCAGTCCCCATTGCAAAATGGTCCGTGATGGCGAAGCCGCCCCGGCCCTCGGTAAATTGTGCCCGTGGGTAGTTACTCTCCCCAGCAAGAATTTACGCCTTCTTTCCTCCCATCTGAATTTGTCTAGGCAGCACTGACCTCCTCTCTGACCCTACCCAGCATCTCCCTCTGGCGGTCTCTGAGGTCTGGGGGGCTCGGTCCAATTTCCCTGCAGGGTGGGTCTTCATATGGCAGAACCCACTGCTGCAAAGGGGCCCTGGCTGGGGTCCGCAGGACGGCTCGGGAAAGGGCGGAGGGAGGCCGTTGGCTGGGGGTGAGATTCCAGTACCCGTCTTCCGGAGAGAAGGTGCTTGACACAGCACGGTTCAGCGGCACAATCAGTCATGTACGTGAAGGACGTGAATTCCAACAGCAGGACCAGTGGGAACGGGGCCTCGGCGTGGGAATCTCTGTCCTGTCCCGGTTCGAGGGAGGAATCGCTCAGTGCAAAGGCAGCTGTGTGCGCGCCAGGCAGCGGGGT